CCTCCTCCTCCTCCTCCTCAGTCGCTCCTCCTCCCCCGATCCTCCTCGAGCCGCTTGCTCCGTCTTCGCCCCGCCCCCTTCGGAGGAGACCGCGCTGCCTTCCAGCACCCGGCCCTCGGACCACGTCTCCCTGGTGCTGCGGGGGGGGGGAGCCTCTCGAGGGGGTTGCGGGGGGGGTCTCGGCTACGCGTAAGAGTGACCTTCGCTGGAGTGACCGTTGGTGGGGGCCCACATGAGGTCCCCCGAGCACTCGCCCGCGCGCTTGCAGTTGGGCCTCCCGCGGTCTCCTGCAGCCGCGCACGGAGGGTCACGCTTGCCCAGGGTGACTCCTGCGTGTTGCCGAGGCGGGGGAGGCCCGGGGAGGGGTGGGCCTCCGTGGGCTGCGATGGGGGGGAAGGCAGAGGGCGACGGGGGGGTGGTGGGCCGGGGGAGGGGGGGGGGGCCATAGGGGGAGGGGGAGGTGGGTGATGTGAGGAGGAGGAGGAGGAGGAGGAGGAGGAGGAGGAGGAGGAGGAGAAGGAGGAGGAGGAGAGGAGGACGTGAGAAGAGGAGGATGTGAGGAATGCAAGAGCCCCGCCGCTGATGTCTGCCTCACCTCATAAAGAGGATGTGAGGACGAGGAGGAGGAGGAGGAGGAGGAGGAGGAGGAGGAGGAGGAGGAGGAGGAGGGGGAGGGGGAGGAGGAGGAGGAGGGAGGGGGAGGACAGGAGGTGGTGGAGGAGGAGGAGGAGGAGGGGGATGAGGTGGAGGAGCCATGAGGGAGGTGAATGAGAGGCAGGGGGGGGGAGGGTGGAGGAAGGCGGGGAGGAAGGGGTACAAGGAGCGGCGAGGGGGGGGCATGAGGATGAGGAGGTATGAAGAGGCAGATGTGTAAGGGGGGGCTCGGCCGTATGCTGAGGAGGAGGCGGCGGAAGGACAGTAGCATCAGCAGGAGAAGCAGGATCAGGAAAAAGGGGGGAGATGTTTCCCTCCCCCTGCGATGTGGGGCTGAAAAGCCCAAGCATCGGCGCAACAGCGCGCCAGCGAGGAGCCTGAGTTAAACCTGACCACCCCAGGACTCCCCGACCGTGCCCTCAAAGCGGCCGAGGATCAGCATGGGCTCGGCTAGCCCCGTGAAACACGAGGGCCGAGTCGCGCGCCGCACGCTCTCGCGGTGCCCTCCGCGGCCGCTCCGCGCGGCCGCGTCGCGCCAGCGGAGAACCCAGCACGCCACGCCCCTTCACGTCGAGCACCACGAGGAGGAGGAGGAGGAGGAGGAGGAGGAGGAGGAGGAGGAGGATCAGGGTCAGGATCCAGAGGAGGATCAGGATCAGGATCAGGTCAGGAGCAGGATCAGGATCAGGGATCAGGATCAGGATCGGGTCAGGATCAGGATCAGGATCAGATCAGGAGGAGGAGGAGGAGGAGGAGGACGGGAGGAGAGGAGGAGGAGGGGGAGGAGAGGAGGAGGAGAGGGGAGGAGAGGAGGGGAGGAGGAGGAGGAGAAGGAGGAGGAGGAGGTGAAGGAGGAGAAGGAGGATGAGTGAGGAACGAGGAGGACGAGGGGGCGGGGAAGGACGAGGGGGAGGAGGAGTCCTCACCGCTCAGGCGCAGCCTCGCGCTTCCAGCACAGCAGCACGGCGGAGGGACGGTCCGGCCCGGCCGCGGGGCAGGCGGCGGGAGCAGCGCGGGCGCCTCCGGCGCGCCCGCGCAGCCCAGCACGGCCGCCCAGCAGGCGAGGGGCACCGGCAGGGCGTGGCAGGCGGCGGCGGGCCCTCGGCCTGGCGCGCCGCGCCGCGGCCAAGTGGCCGGTGCCCGCCGCGGCCGCGTGCAGGCACGACTGTGTTTCAGGGCCTCGGGGCGCGCACCCCGCGCTCGTGAGTTGACCCACCCGTGCCCCGCCCCGTTTCTCGCCCGTTGCTGGGTCGTGCTGCGACCGGCACCAAGGCCTCCCCTGGACGCCAAGTGGGCGCAGGGCGGGCCCGCAAGGATCCGCCGCGACCGTGCCGCGGCGCCGCCCAGCCGCGTCGAGGAGACCCCCGCGGCAGCGGGCAGCGAGCGCCCAGCAGCCGCCCAAGCATGACGGGCGGTGGCCTGCGTCGCCCGCCTCGGCGCGGAGTGGGCGTCGCGGCCGCGGGGCGGGGACGGGAGAGTTCGAACGTGGGGGAGAGCAGGCGGAGGGTCGGCCGACGGCGGCAACGCTCCGAGCTTGATCGAGAGCGACTGGAGCCAAAATGGCGACGGAGGGAGGAGGAGGAGGAGGAGGAGGAGGAGGAGGAGGAGGAGGAGGAAACCGCTGGCGGAACGACAAAGAAGTAAAGACAGCATGACAGTAGAAGGAAACATGCGAGGAGGGAGATGGAATCGTGCATCGTGCACACCTCGGGAACGTCGCCTCGACTTGGGCGTTTACCATTCGTGGTGCGGTGCATGATCTCCTTCCTTTTGGCTGACTGTACGGTGGATGTTCCGAATGCCACGACATCCCCTCGATCACACATGTACAAGCTGGTGCTGACGTCATCAAAGCGGACCCGCGTAGATTAGGACAGAACCGTGGTGGCCAACGACTACATAACGAATAAGCAGGCCGCAGGGAGCCGATCTTCGTGGCGCGCGTGCGGAGCAGGACGTAGAGAATGGAGGAGGCGAAGATGCAGGGAAGGAACATAACGAGCCACGAGAAGGATGAATGGTGCTAGGCCGAGCTGCCGGATTTCTGCCATCGCTTGCCGAGCCCAGCGTATCTTCGGGGGGGTTCAGCGAGCTGGCCTAGCGTCTTAACCCATACAAGCGCATGCAAGTGCAAGAAGCGCGTACTGATGGCCCGGTGACTGCACCAGGTTTTGCCGCAAAGGCGGCCTGTATTCTTTCGGCCAGCCATTTCGCGATCACCGCCTCAGCCATAAGAGGACGAGGAAGCGTGCTGGTCAGGTGGAGGAAGAGCACGGACATGGCAACGTCGAGACGGACTGGGATGAAGGTGAGGGGGAGGAGGAGGAGCAGGAGAAGGAGGCGGAGGAGGAAGAGGAAGATGATGATGAGGAGGAGGAGGAGGAGGAGCAAGGATCAGGGGGGGAGGAGGAGGAGGAGGAGGAAGAGGAGGAGGAGGAGGAAAAGAACCTGTGCAAACCAACGAGTCATCAACGATGTTGGAATTTACCCTCCCTCCGAGCTCCTTCGTCCTAAGCCCCTACACCGTATCATTGAAAGAACTACATCGTTGGAAGGCACCCTTGAAGACCCTGAAGTATGCCAGAACATTGTTCTCGGGATTTCAAAGCCACGGATCAACCTGTGACTGCTGCGTTTTGACAATCCGGAATCGTGCCAGAACGTTATGTGGGGACTTCAACACCGCGAACCTACATAACTGTTGCATCCGCATAGTCATGAATCCTTCCAGAACATCATTCCGGGTACGCTGATCATGGGAGTCCGTGATTTTTCAAATGTTATGAACGAATGTGCGCTGCGCGAAGGCAAGACACATTGTGAAAAGGAACCGCCCTCAATCCGTGAAGCTCTTGCAAATGCTTAAAACGAGTGTGCAAGGCGCTGAGGCGAGAGCCGCCTTTTGAAAGCGGCCCGCCTTCAATCCTCGAAAATTCTGCAACTGTTTAAAGCGAGTGTGCGCGGCGCTACGGCGAGAGCCACATGTTGAAAACCACCCGCCTTCAATCTGTGAAGCTCTTGTAATGTTTAAACGAATGCGCGCGGCGCTAAGGCGAGAGCCACATATTGAAAACCGCCCGCCCTCAATCCGTGAAGCTCCTCCAGTGCATTGAAAGAAACAAATGCGCGCGGCGGTAAGGCGAGAACCACATTTTGAAAACCACCCGCGCTCCATCTGTGAAACTGCTGCCACTTGTAAAGCTTCAGAGTCATAAGTGGTGAGGAACTCTCCGGGGAAACGCCCAGCCCGCCCAATCGAAGACCCTCCAAGCGCAACGCAAGTATAGGCGCCTCAACGAGGCGACAGAATCCTCTTAACCTTCCCAATAAGAAAGCATAAGAGACTGCGTTTGACTGAACAGAAGGGGATTCATCGGTTGATTCAGTGACAAGGTCCAGAGAACAACACTCGAGCGGTAGGTATGGCACAGCCAGAACTTCCGCCGAGGGGCTCTCTGAGTTGGTGTCGGTGCACCCTGGCTTTCAGCCATCGATCGACATAGATCTCGAAATGGAAAAGTTGTTGGATCACATCCCCATCGAAACGTCAGGCGCCGAAAACCTAGGCGCCGAGCATGCGGTGCAGTGTACCTTGCATGAACAGAGTGAGGATGTGAGCGATTTACAGTCTGAAGGGGATAGCTCCCATTCGATAGAAAAGAACGAAGAATATGCCCGATTCCATACCTCGCCTGGTCCGTCGCGTCATCTCGACCCTCTCCCTGACCGGTGCGTCGATTTCGCCCCTGACCGCATAACGATTGAGGCAAGTCAGAAAGCCATCCATGATCTGGACGATGACCTCGAAGACGGAGAGAGCCCAAACCAAGGTGGGCGCTCATCGGCACAGCCGATGTCGAGCTGCCCCGACGCCATGCGCGCAGAGAGAAATACGGGAGAAACTAACGGCATGACTCCTCATCCGCTAACGAAGAAACCGAAGGGTGAGGACGATGATTTGAATGCCGCGCCCTCACTGCAGGGCTTTTACAGACCAGACTTCTCACTGCCCAGGACAAAAAGAGATAGAGTGCCTGAACTTGATGAGCTCGCAATGCACTGCGAAAGAGACGATTAGCAGGGAGCATGGACGTTGATACCATCAAGATGCGTAAGAACTAAGAACGAGAGAACAACACGCGCCTACTCCCAGCAGTGAAAGGGGATGCTCCAGCAAGGCTCCCAGGGCCGGGCGCTCCAGTTCCAGAGGGTTTAATGTTTTTGATTCGCCGCGAATGTCGTCGAATGGAACCACCGGCAGCTCCTCGACGCGGGAGGGCTGCTGCAGCGCCAGGCCAACGCGCCCCATTCGGGCGGAGCATCGACGCCCGGGGAAAGCGCGCAAACCGGGGGGTGCATGTCGAAGACCAGTGTTTTCTCAATGTTCGAATGTTTGCCCCAATTGTAGTCTAGCATGGCTTTGTGAAGAGTGCGTCACGAGGGAAAAACTCAATTTCCATCATATCTCGATTCAAGAGT